GCTCATTCTGGTTTCAAATCCGCATTCACAACCTCCCTTATATCTTATTGGCTCTTACCACATACCAAGAATAAAATTAATAACTAGGCAATGCAAACAAACGAACACAAAAGAATTTAAGAAATAAAGGAGTGAGATACCTTTAAAATATCTTAAAACATCTTCCGATATTATTAGTTTCAGCAACTCATAGCGTTATTAAATAAATTGCAGATAAATAGATGACTGTGTTGTGGGATGCTGCGCGGTAGTGTAGTCTGATAGAAGTTTACCGACGTTTCGAAGGTGCTTACTACTTCCGTAATCAGGGCGACTGTAGTCATACACAAGACCTTCTTCTACAAAACTACGCGGCACTAATATTTCAGAACACGTTCATCTTCATATTTGCCACTCAGATCTACTGTTTATATTTAAACTAATTCTTATTAACAGGTATACTTCAGTTTTGCGAGAAATACGCTCCTGAAACGATCATTAATACTGTCATGGACTCTGATAATTATGTGTGTGTTCTCAATTAATTACGCATTATACTTTTTCTCGTAACAGTTTCTGTACCTCCACTTGAATTAGTAGTGTTACGGGAGGTACAGTCGCACCAAAAATACCAACTAGAAAAAAATTAGCTTCCTTTGTCCAACGAAGGACGGACTGCAACGGACCTTAAAGTACCATGAGTCTGATCCTGAAAAACAGCGCGTAGCTCACGATGGGGACGTGATAGAAAAAATATGAATAAAACAAGTAGTACTTCAGTGTTGTTACATGAATTGTTAATTAGATTAATCAAAAATATAGATTATTGGTCTGTGCAATGTAACATCTGTGCTCTTTATTAGCTGTATTATAAACAGTCTTCAAACCAATAGATTTGTATCTTCAACAAATAAACATAAACTTTTGTTAAGCCAAACTGACGTGAACTTACACCTTTTGACTCTTGTTCAAACTTTCGTATTGACTGAGTTTTGACAGCGAGGAAGTGTTCATAATGGAAAGGGTGAAATGTGAAAAGCTTGCACTGAGGCGGAAGGCGGAATTTCCTTCAGGTTGCAAGAGAGGTGGTTCATTTCTATGGCTTATCGGATGTTCAGAAAACACTGTTAGGTTTTACGGGCTTTTACTTAAAAATGACCCCTACAGCACGAAGCCATATGCTTAATTTCCTTTTTGTATATAATGAGCTGCACAATAGTGACGTTTGTTCTAAAATATTGTAGTAACGTAAGTGTTTCCTGCACAGGCTTTAATTTTTCTTTAATTCAATTCAATTCTTTATTATTAGTGTGCTGTATCAACAGCGAGAAGGCCAATTACAGATACAGCACAAGAGATGAGCACACGAACACAGTAATAAATATAGAAAGGCAATAACAAACAGAATATAAAAATACATTATTACGGAGGACGCTAATACACAAATTATAATAATAAGCCTGGCTTTTATGAAGACGGTGATGAACATTAAAGTGCGTAGAAACAGAAATATTCTTGATCCTCTGAATCTACGTACGTTGTAATTAATTTGGTTTAGTTGCAATGCAGAACGAAAGAGGACAAGAAAATGTATGGCCACAGTGATTCATGTTGAAATTCACTGACTCACCCATAAATGTTTTACAGCTGCTAAAAGGGCTCAGACGTAATTCAGATATAAGAACGTGTTTTATCCAGTAGCTGTTGCTCTGTACTTTAAGATACCACACGACGAGGAGAATTCAGGCCAAAGCAAATCTAAGTGAAGTTACTCCCGCCTCTCCACACATGAAGTCGGAACCATAAGAAAATATTAGCGTGCTTTTTTTTAAAAGAAAACGTTATTAGTAAGCAGCAACACGCAAAATGAAGATTGGTATCTTTAAATGTGGGGAAAGCTGCACTCAAGATTATGTGTGCTTTGGTCGTGCTGCTACAGATAACCTGTGGGTGCGTGAAGTGTAAATAAAATTTAAGAATCCTATAGAATGGAGTACTTCCGAACTTCGACTAGGAAACAAAAGTTGCATTCATGAAAAATATTGAAGCTGATTAGATTTGGGCAACGATTCCTATTGGTCAGATTAATTTCGTTTACTTTACCTTTAAATACGCGTGAGGTGCTTTGGAACTGCGTGTTGAAAATATTTTGGTTTCAGAGGTTAGAATTAACGGGAGGTTAAAATGAACTGTCGAAAAAAGGGAAGATAAGAGACCTATGGGACAATAATAGTAAAAGTTATCTTAAAGATTTGAGACTGTGGACTGAGGTCACCTGCTCACGATAAATCCTATTACAATTTCTTGGGTTTTATAAAAGGCGGAGAATTTGTAGAAAGACAGATTTGCTCTAATATTTTCAATAAATATTTTTCCACTCAGTATAAAATGCAGAGCTTTTTGGGGTACGATGGGATAACAGAATGTTTGTCCTATATATTTAAGTTGTAAAGATCCATTAAAAAGAGTGACCATTGCCTGCTTGGAAGTACTATTGAAATAAATATTCGTATGTCGTTGTTGAAAAAATCCATTAAATCACTCGGGATAATGGATGCAGTGTCAGAAGCAATGTTAGTTTCAATGTAAGAATATTCTTATTATGTTAAATGTATTTGCACAAAAACAGAAAAATAACCTAAGACAGGCAAGGTGCACGCTGGTTATTAGATGCTTTTTATGTTCCGAACTATATGCATTTATGAGATACACATTAAAGCAAATCAGAAGGATAGATCTGTAGTTACAGCTACGCGAATAGACTTTCGCCGTGAAGCAGCGGCATCTTCTCCGACACGTCTGTGGGGCGTGTAGTCTAGTTAGACCCTAGCAGGCGCAGACATGTGTTGAGAGAGAAAGGAAAACAAAAAGAAAAAAATACTGGGCCGTGCAAAGATATCTAGGGGGGACGAGAGCAAAGCTCCATTAGTGGCCCCCTACAATATTTTTGATAACTCATTCATTTGCGGGAACCTTCACTTACAGGGACCATTTTACATGCGGGGTCAGGGGGCAACGCCCCCGGCGCACCACCCTTTGCACGGTCCTGAGTAATGGTCAGCTAATATTTTATTACCTTAAATTTTGCCTGGAGAAATGGCGCAATGCAATAATTATTAGTACGCACAACAACTGAAGACTGCTGCATTACAAAATCTGCCTAGAAATGGTTAACATTAAGTTACGTAAACAACACCCAATGGCGAAACGTCATATCGTTTATATGATTTGGGGTTTTCACAGCGGAGAGTATGAAGATTTCTGTCTTCTGAGTTGTTGCGCTGTGTAGTCTGATCGATGTTTACCAACGTTTCAGAGGTCATACTGCCTCCGTCATCAGGGCGATGAGTATGAAGATTTCTGTCTTCTGGGTTGTTGCGCTGTGCAGTCTGGTCGATGTTAACCAACGTTTCAGAGGTCATACTGCCTCCGTCATCAGGACGATTCATCAGACTACACAGCGCAACAACCCAGAAGACAGAAATCTTCGTCATATCGTTTGTTTACATCAGGTGTTTGGTGAAGTGACGGCAGGTCCGTGCAAAGATCTCTAGGGTCCTGTGAGCAGAGCTCCGTTCGGGCACCCCTCGAATATTTTTTAACTCTTTTACTTGCGTGGACCCCTTTACTGCGGGTCGGGTCAACGCCCCTGGTGCACCCCCCTTTTAGACGTCCTTGATAAGATGGACTACACCAGCATATACGAAAAGCAGTCACCTTTGGTATTGTGCATTCTAATGTTTATAAGCCGGGAAAAGATAAACAAATATTTTATTAACTTGATATTAATATGAATAATGGGCAGTGGTCGCACTATGTTAACATAATTCATTACTGTTTGCTGTGAAACCCAGATATTTGGCATTGTCAATTTTCGTAAATAATTATAATGAACAGTTTAAGGAAACACTCTTGAAAGATCTGTTGTCATAAAAACAGTTCTGTGCCAAACATGGAATGCTGTTGACATTGTTGCAACCTCACAATTTCTCAAGCTGTGCCGTCGGAAATCATTTGCAGCACGTTTAAGAAATCGGTCATTGTCTAATAATGAGATCCATAATTGAAACAGCTCATTAATGGGATGACGAAGAAGGAACTCTCAGCCTAATTAGTGCTCAGTGATGCATCCTAGGGTAAAAATTGTTTCAAATTAAATCACCTATAGTGGGGGAAAAATAAATTAGAAAAACAGAGGTAGAATTCAAGTTTTCTTTCCTCTTTACGCTCCGAATTTCTGTGAAATATAGTTCGGTACAAGATAACATGACGCGTCTCTTTGTTGAGACCGTGTTATAAGTGAGCCATATTGTTTTATCTCCGCTGAAGACTGGAACAGTGCAGAGGGTAATATGACAGAGGGTCTGGCTCCAAGCCAGATGCAAACAGAATTTTAATACCTCTCGCGAGGAAATACGAAGAAGAGTGAGCTTCATGCTCCCTCACTCTGTACTCGTGCGGGTACATAAGAAAATCGAAAAGCGTTTTACATGTTCTACCGAAGTTTCAAAGTTATTCGCCGCCTCAATCATCAGGGTGTCCTTGATGATAGAAGTAGGAAGCATGTATGAAACATCGGTAAACTTTTACCACACTAAACGAGGCAACAACCCAGTATCCAAGCACGTACTGAAATTTTATGGTAGCTGGGCGTAAAGCCTATTTTGAGTGCCCACAAACACACGTACATTTGAAGCAAATTTTCGATTAGATAGGTATTTTATTTTTCAGAACACATCACAGACTGTAACTTCTGCAGGTTCTTTGCTGATCACTCCTTAGAGGAACTGTGGACTTAAATCACATTTATTCAGAAGGGATAGCAAAGTCAACAATAATATTTAATTCGACTATTTTTATAATGTAATCCGAAGTAATTTTTGTGATCCAGAGTTATCGTACTGATGATGGAGGCAGTAAGCACCTTTGAAACTATGGTCAATTTGTACCAGACTACACGGCCCAACATCCCGTCTAGAGCATACGTTCCCTTGAACTGACGCGGTGTGCTTTCTCCCCAGAGCGGGAGTGTGGCGAGCTGACAAGTCCGGCGCTGGGGTCTGTGTCCCTTTCTGGGCGCTTCTTTGGTGACCGTGCCACCTACAGCTGCGATTTGGGCTTCCACGTGGTGGGTCTCAAGGAACGGACATGCCAGGCGGATGGCACGTGGTCCGGACATTCGCCTGCCTGCAAGCAGAACAGTGAGTACTCAACACGTGTCAAATTATCGCCCCTTTGATGAGTTGTGGTAATGAGATTCCAGCACGGTAGTTTACACTTAAAATTATTCATTGCCAGGGCTTTTTCCATCGTCTGCTCTTTAAAATCACGACGTTTCGGAGGCTGGTTCTGTCTCCGTCTTCAGGTGAGAGGTACTTACTCTATTGGGTCCCTTAGATAGAGCTAGTCTCTGTCACTGGACCAGTGACAGAGACTAGCTGAAGACGGAGACAGAACCAGTCTCCGAAACGTCATAATTTTAAAGAACAGACGATGGAAAAAGTCCTGATAATGAAAATTTTTAAGAGATATCTCTTCTTTGGCAGTGTGAAGTCTTACTTATATTACTAATTATCAAAATTCAGTCCTTGTGAATTATTTTGTAGCATAAAGTTATTGTTATTAATATGATTATTATTATTATTATTACTGGTGGTATTCTGTCTGGGAGTGGACTGGATTTATGTGTGAGATTTAAGGTTTTTACGGCGGTGAGGATGATGATCTTCTGGGTTTTGGCGCCTTGTAGACTGGTTGTTAGATGTCAAGGAGTCTACTCAGAGCCAAAACCCTGGATTCGTGTTGTTCACGACAGGATGTAGTGTCGGGTTCCATAAAGAGTGGTGAATTTGTTGATCATCTGAGCAACTATTGCCTATTCAAGGACTCTGTTCCATGTAGTCACTTAATTCTATTTCCTGTCTAATTCAGAACAGTCAGTGACCGAATTATTTAATAATATGCATTTGGAAACTGAAGGAAACCGTAAACAATTAAGTCATTAAAATTTGGAATATTATGCCGTACTATTGATATGATTAAAGGAACAGCATTAGGTTATGTTTTCAGTAACAGAATTAAGTCCCCATACCTCGAGGTCCCTATAGTGACAATAAATAGTTACCATCTATTTCTAAGCTCAGTGCAGTCAAATACATAAGAATTATTTTGCGAACAAAATTAATATTTCCAATATAAAACTGCGTTTGATAACTGACACAATTGAACATATGCTGGTAACGCCATCCATGTGTTGTAGTTAAATAATGCTATAAAATACAAGTTTCTGACCGATATAGACAATTGATTAAAATTTTAAAATGAAATTAGTATGTGTTAGGATATTTGAACTTCTACACGTTATATAAATCGACTGCTGTAAAATTACGTTCAGTACTCTGACTTTTGTACGGTCAGTCACTACGGAATATTCATCATGTCTCGTTGAAATTCAGATCTAAAAATAACTCTGTCACAATCACACAGGAGCTACATAAATATGCTCGATTGTTGATCAACAGTGCACATATCTTTCTTTTGTGGTAAAATGTTTGGACAAAGTGTGCGAAAATCGTGTCTGTGTGAAATCCACAACTGTGGGGTAACATGTTTTAAACGCCTGTCACAGCAGAATGATAGGAGAACGTCACAGATATACAAACAATTTGTTGTTTTTCCTTCTTTATTTACCGAAAGTGATGGGATAATTTTCTGAATCCCACATCACGCGTTTCAACATGATTCAGTCCTCGCGCAAGTTAGATAAAATTGGAATATCAATTTATATACTAAACTAAGGGAGAGCAGAGACTTAACGGTAAATCCAGGCATATTGACGGGTCAAACTGGCCATATTTCACGTCTTATTAAAATTTACTTTTCAGAATCTGTAGATGTAATTTACAAAACAAATAACTTTTCAAGAGCTTATTAAAAGACAAAACGGAGGAGTAGGTAATATGTGAGACAATATTTTTGGTAACTGAGAATGAAGAGCGTGGCTATAGTAAATGGATCTATGACATTAAAATCACTGTGCTAAATGTGCGAGTTTCGATGATCGTCCTAATATCTTCCTAAAGATCACTGTCCTCTGGCGTGTTGCACCGTATAGTCCGGTAGAAAGTGAGCGACGTCTCAGAGCTTTCTGCAAACAGTGGTAAGTTTTCTAAAACAATTTAAATGTGTGAATACCATAACCCTCTGCTGATGTTTAAGTAAGAAGAAGGTATGTTGTCAGCAAACTTCGTAACATAGTCCGAACGCTGTATTTATGGTCTAGTATGAGCAGATTTGAATGACTGGGTTTCCTGGACACTTCAATTATAATTGCCATTTGATCAAGTTTTAGACTGAGGTTAAAGCATTTGAATTATTTCTTGTAGAAGACCGTGGTTGCGAAAATCAATTGAGAATTAACGACGAAGAATAAAACTCGATTTCAGACAATGAACTTTGCTTCATATTTCTCTCGCAGATTTTTCTGACCAGCGTAAGCTTAACGGTGTGAATACGAATATTTACATAAATTCTTTGCAACCAATTGGCGATTCATACATATTGTTATCTAACCTTGAGGAGACCGTTAAGAAAATGCAATTTTTTATGTCCATTAAATCACTGAAAAAAATTAATTCATTAGCAAATAACGAAGTTCAGCATAACAAAGATCGTATCAATACTTATTAAAGCTATAAGAAATCCCTGATTAATGTTATCATTGTGCTTATGTGTCATGCTTTTACTTGTCAAACTGTGTCGCAAGTTTTTCTGGAAGTGCTAGCAAGGTGTTTTGACATTTGAGCATGCTATTATCTGCAGAAATGAAGCAAATTTGTTCAGTGTAATGTTTGAAGTCAGGAATTCGGAGGATTCGTCACTTGGTATCCAGGGAACTGTGGTCACAGCAGCGTGCGTTGTTTCAGTTTACTGCACGGTCCCCCCACACATTGAGCATGCAAGGCACAACACTCTGCCAGAACAGACGACCTTTGACCTGGACAGCACCCTGCATTATCAGTGCTATCATGGCTACGTAACTAATGGTTTCCCCACAGCCAAATGTTTGGCAGTTGTTGGCGTGGCTTCTTGGTATGGCCCGGACATATCCTGTGTTCGTAAGTATGATTGCAGTTTATAGATTTTAATTCTCATTTGTATTTGAAGTGGGCAAGTTTTATTCCTATAAAATCGCCATGTTGTTATTTATTATGTCAAACCAATATAAACAGAACACACAATGTTTCAGAGAAATTTAATTGTAAGTGATGTAATTATAAAAACTTAAAAGTAAAATATTTTTATAAAATGCCTCTCGTATATAAGGACTTCATGTCAGTACTTCAGGATCTTATTCCTGGGATCATTCTCAGTCAGAAATGCCATACGAATATGGGTTCTATTCTCAGCGGTTACGGGGGTTTGGGGATTTAAAATGTAGCTTGATTGGAACAAGTTATTTGTGGAATAAAGATACTTACTTGCACTGTGCAATACATTAAAAACATTATGCAATATAATTCATGGAATACTGGGGGAAATATTTACATTGCACCGTTTACATAGTAAGCTTGAAAGGATCGCCGTCATCTTGGAAGCAAATCCTGACTCATTTAACTATTGAATGTGTAACTGTACGAAGAAGTGCAGCTTTATTTTTGCGTCTTGTAACATGAAAAATCGCTGAAGTAGTTCTTCTGTTGTGTCCACCTTTCACGTCATCCGCTATGTTTTTAATGCTACTCCACATGTGATAATCTAACAGGCTGAAATCCGGTGACCGGGTGGCCATTTGTACATATCGCTATAGCCGATCTATTGGCTAGGGAACTGCTCATTCAGATACTGCGTGACGTTTTACTGAAATGTGGGAGAGAAGTGCTCTGTCATGCTGGTAGTACATCTGCAGTCGTGTTTGCAGAGGAACGACCCCTGAGAGAGCCGGCAATTCAGTTTGAAAAAATTCCTGCGTAAATGTCACCCTGCAGGATTTGCGGAAAAATGAACGGTCCAACCAGCTGGCCACCGATGACATTATACCACACTACACGTTTGCAGAAAATCGATGCTGGTAGTTACTGGGAATGACCTCAGGAATGGGATCTTGAAGTTTTTAAATGAAATCACCAAACACTTATGAAGGACTCCAACAGATTTTCGTCATTACTAGGTCACAAATCCGAACACTCGTCTTGCTTCCAGTCTCGGTGAAGATTTTGGGTTTAGGGTAATTTTTTCAATATTTGACGGTACGTGACTGGCGGAAGATCGTACATGACACATACGAACCCACGACAAGAGGTCAGACGATACACATTGCGACACCGACACATAATGCCATAGTTTGCGCATATGAGCCTAGATACGCCATAAAACACGATCCTGACAAACCGACGTCGAGCTTGCGACGCCTACTGTCGTGAACGTGGGCAGAAATTCATATACATGTAGAGTACATGAGCTTTGGGAAGTCCTAAGGAACGACATTTTAAAATGGACACTGAGCGTCTCAACGCCGATTTCAATTCCAAATCAAGAGGAACATCGAGACGACATACCACAGGATACACAGAAACTGCCACCGAGCGTTGAGACACCGATTTAAGATTCCCCATATAGCGTGCATGAGCTTAGTGAAGGCACAAGACAACGCGCCGGAAAATTGACGTCTGTCGTCGCAAAGCCGCCACAAGATTTATGACACCAGAGAAAAAAGACACGTTACTAGCAAAATGACGACGGCTCAAGATGTCATCGGTGACGAACATGAGCATGGGAAGTCACAAGACACGTTGCTGGAACACCGACGCCGACAAAAACACCGAACGAAGCTAAGAAACAATTCTGAAAGCGATAGGGTACGATGTTGGCAAACCGACGAGCAGCATCGCGACACCAATTGTCCCGATGCCGAGATTAAATACCATATTTTTCGTAGTCTAGCCGAGGGATGCGATTCGACACAGCACCGGAAAACCAACGCCGAGCGTGCGACGACTCAGAATTCCAAATGTCGCCAGGAATAGCCTCTAGATGCAATAAGGCACAATGCTGACAAGCCGACACCAATCGTCCCGACACCGTAAAATATGCCAAACATTGCGAAGATGAACCTAGGGATGACAATTGACACGAAGCTGGAAAACAGTCGCTGAACGTCACGACGCGGATCGACGATATGTGAATAATCTTTGAGATACCTAACGAAACAAAACTTAAACCAAAACTAAACTAACAACCTAAACAAACCTAATCTAAACTAACAAAACCAAACCAAGCGTAATCTAACCTAATCTAACAAAACCAAACTTAACATAACCTAGCTTCGCCCTTCCTAGCAATGTCTAACCAAATCCAGTGGTCATTAGCGGATATTTTTGGTTTTAACTTACTTTGTCCTCATTCTCCCGTCAAGAAGAAAAAAATTGTCTGTACCAGACGGAGTCCGTTAAATCCGAAATCCATTAAGTTGCGGGTTTAGTGTAGTATCACTCAAATTTGTTATTCAGCAAGGTTATGTGGCCCACCTGCCGACGTATCACATGGCTGGCATGCTGGGGAGTGCTACACTTACGGATGTCGAGTTACTTATCACTGTGCCGATGGCTATGAATTGGTTGGGCGGTCTGATCGTCACTGCCAAGATGATGGAACCTGGAGTCCCAAGGAGTTACCAGCCTGCGTGCGTAAGTTGCATACTGTACTAGTTTTATTTCAGTGATTAAAAATTCATAATAAATATATCGTAACATGTTTAATACTTGGCAGCATAACTATAGTTTCTAAAATTAACACATTTTCAGAATATACAAAGAAAGAAAGAAAGTGCATAATTTGGTTTTGGGTTCCAAGCAAACTTTACGTAACCCAATATAAGTTAATAAAAATGAAACAAAGTGAACCAAACCTAAACAGAAAAGAATACTGTGATATAAACAATTGGCCTAGAACATTTCATGGTTTGGAATCCAAAACTTATTCTAAATGCGTTCTTTGCACAATGTGCATAAGAACCATTAGATGTATTTGGATGAAATTTTGGTACGGATGATATGCCATTGGGGTCTACTAAAAAAATTTTAATTTCCCATGGTTGGTAATATCACTGTGGCAGATAAATGAACTTGTGAGGTGGGATTGACAAGAGCGCCACGTACAATTTATAAAGGTGACTGAAGAAAGGGAAGAGTGGTCTCAATCACTACACTTTTTCAGCATAAAAATGCAAATTAACTTTAATCCCACAAATTTAAACTACTATTAATATTACTAATCACATCATCAATCACGTGTATTTAAAAAGTGTTACACTCTGAACTTTTGACATCCTCTACATGTTTTACTGTTGTTATCGATAAATGTTGTTTTTCATATCAACTTACAGTATTTACACATGCCAGATAAATATCAGAAAGGAGATGAGCATTTAATTCATTTTCAAAGTTGGAAAAAATAATATGACGTGTGCCTAACCTACACAATTATTTGCAATATACTCAACTTCTCTAGTTTCTGATGTTGAATGAACTACCCTAACCCAGTATATTTTTCAGGTGGCAAGCATGTACTCAAGTACTCTTCAAGACCATTCGTGGTTTTTTCATGATTTAAACAACAAAAACTGAGAAACAAATATTATTATTTGTGTGAAGAGATGGTGCAGTGATTACCACAATCTTATTATCTGGAAGGTGCCTAGTTTGAATCCCACCAGGATTGTCAACTGTTACAGACATATTGTGCTCAGAAAATAACGTTAAAAAGTTACTTTGGTTGGACATTCCAAGTGTGTTTGAAAGAGAATGTAAATATATAAGGCTAAATAGGGAAAATTAGATTCAGTATAATCTGTATTAAGTTACTAGAGGTGTGCTATCCAGTGACTAAGCAGACATGGTGCTTCATTGGTGCATGTAACTGTATCTTTCTTTACATTGCTTTTTTTGTTGGTGGTGGTGTCGTTTGTGTGTGTTGTGGTTACAGCCGTGCAGTGCCCTACCCCTGAGAATCCTAGCAACGGGAAAGCCATTTTTACATCTTGCAGCTACAATTCAGTAGTATCGTATGAATGCAAGTATGGGTACACTCTTGTTGGAGAGCCTACACGAAGATGTGGAGCAGACAAAAGGTGGTCAGGGGTAATGCCACAGTGCAAGGGTGAGTTGCAATCATTTCTGATATTTTGATTGGCATTAATACTATGTGTGCAAGCATGTTTACATGTCATTATATTTCTATCAGGAAAATTGTTACTTTGCTTGCTTTACTTTATTGACACAATCTGTATAGGCCTATCTTAAGTTTCAAGAAAAAGTCCTATTTAATGTATATGTTACTGGCAAACTATGAAATCCAGCAATGTATAGAATGCCTAAAGTCAGTAGGCAAAGTATTAAATTCAGGCATTTTATAAAATACCAAGAACTTTTAGGCAATGTATGAAACTAGCAGTTTATTTTATACTTTGCCTAGGAATTTTATAAAATGCCTCAGATTCTTTAGGCAAAGTATATAACAAAGAAATTTCTATAATATGATTTATACAGTTTTATTTTATCTTTTATATTTGCAAAAACTTAATATAAAACAATTTTTTTTAATTCTCAAAACTTTTGTTAGGTTAGGTTTTTTAAAGTTAGTATATGAAACAATTCTCTTTAATTCTCAAAACTTTTGTTATGTTCAGATTCAGTAGCTCGGTGTTTTCGCGACTATCTTGCACAACCTCCATCTTGATATCTTACCCAATTGACTTTGATTAATTTTAATTTAAACAACCAAATAATATTAACATTATGATTTATTTCATGCTTTGCCTACTGACTTAGGCATTCTATACATTGCCCGTAACATATAGATAATTTGGAACAAACATGGGGGGGAAAACACAGTTGTGAGGTTACATTGTTCAGGTATTACAAACAAGTTTTCGGAGGTCTGTTCTTTCTGTCTACAAGGATTATAACCATTGTCATGATATTTTTAAATTCTGCCTTGGTTCTTCCTTAAAAATTTTGCGATTAACTTTAAGTTTAGATATATTCCACCTGAAACTGAATGCACATGACATTTAATTTATATATATATATATATTGCATTAAGTAAATTTTCATGGTCCGCTAAGATGGTTTATTATTACAATTGTAAAATTCGTAATTTTTACCCTATCATCTCTTATAATTATCTGTTTTATTGCTGCCTAATAGCTAAAGTACAAGATATAAATAAAATACCCCAGAAAGCTTCTTAGGGTGGCATAAAGTGATGTTGTTGATTATGTAGTTGTTTTTGTTGTGATTTTGACATCAAGGACAACAGTGGTGGTGTCTAGTTGTCTTGACAAATGACAACTTACTTATGCTACAAATAATTACTTTTGCAAAAGTGGTCTGTGTGGGTGTGTTCCATGAGTTTTGTTTGCTCAGGATGCTATTTATTTGTATGGCTGGCCCTAGTACTACACTTTGCTTAAAATCTGTATATTATTTTAAAATATAATATGTATTATGCTTCTTAAAATTGTCAAATAATACCACACTCAAAGAGAAAGCAGTTATGCACAAATAGAAGGAAAACCTGCATGTGGTATTATCAGCTTGAATGGAACATGAATTATCCAGAGAATATGGCATGGGTACCCTGGAAAATTCATAACTTTATATGCAATTATCTCTCAAGGAAAATAACAGACAATACGAACTAATGAGTTTAGTAACTTTTATTAAACTATGCAGCATGCAAAAATTATTGAGCATGAAAATGACTTTGGAAACAGTATACTGACAGCTTATCTTTCAAAATCAAGCACCTTCAAAACTATGGATGGTTCCCCTCATTATTTTGTCATCTCAATAAATTTATTGCTTCATGATTGAGCAGTAATTGCAGTATCTAAATACTATATTTTACACTTAATTGAATTCTTTAATAATTTTAATTTGTTTACTCCCAAGAATTAAATTTTCAGCATTGTATTTCTTCACTGGCACTTGCCTGTTGAATGTTTTGGCATGTTTTGCTTATAAAATCTCAGCATGATCTAAAATAAACCGGGTATGTTTTCTTAAAACTGTTGAATCATTCCTTTCAGTGTATTGTGCTTTTACCCTATAAATTAATTTATTTTTGATATATCAGTCATGAATTATGTTAAAATCGATACTTCTGTATCTGTCTTACATTTCTTCGTATTGTCTGTGTTCTTTCCGAGTTAGAGATTAACTGCGGTCACCCTGGCCCTCTGTACAATGGTTGGCTTGAGAATATTGAGGCTGGAACTGGTCTTGGAGCCAGTATAATCTTCCGGTGCCATGAAGGCATGAAGCTGATAGGGAAGACATCATCTGTATGCCAGATAGATGGGCACTGGCGCTATCCACTGCCTCTTTGTCTTGGTGAGTAACTGGGAAACTGAATAAATTCTCACAAACCCAAGAGTTGGAAGAGTTTTTGTTAGTGTCATGGTTAGTGATCATGTTTTATTTCCAGTGCTGTCAAAGTTATTAATGATTGTCCATAAACACGTTTCTGCACTTTTATTTTGTATTACCATTTGGCATCTGTTTGGTTTTATAATGAAAACAAAAGGAACATCATAGTTTCTACCATAGATGAGATCAAAGCCAAAAATATACAACCTTTCATTTAATAATACATGAGATAGTTTGATAGGGTAAAAATGTGGAAATTAGTTAATGCACAATGAAAGATGTACTTACAGCATTACGCTTCAGAATAATGGCAGAATGCAGTATCAGGTATTTTGTCCATACTCTGAACTCGTTACATGAAAAATTGATGATGAGAGAACACTGACTGTTCAGTAAGAAAGTTTTGTATGAGGACAGAATATGTAGGGTATTGATCAGATACATGCTATTGTGCACAAGCATAAGTTGCATCATATCTTGTAAAAACATGAGTAAGATGACATCATTCATTAGCAAATAAGTTGTTTGTGAACTGTAATATTATTGTGTAATAGTTACCACATTTGCCTCTGACTTTCACATCGTAAACTTTGTGGATCCCACTACTTTTACTTCATAGTGTAGACAACAGTCTCATATATTCCCTTGTTCTTAGATCTTATTCTACTTTGTGACCTGTAAGAATATTAAATTTGTTATAGCTCCATGTGTGGTTCCTCGTATTCAGCAAGGTCGTGTGGTATTGTTGACTCATTCCAACAATACCTCTATATCAGACTCACCGCAGCTTGTTCAGCATGGTGAGAAGTTAAGTGTGGATTGTGAACAACGTTATGAATTTCTTGCAGCCAACAGTACACCAGTGGAATGCAATAATGGTACTTGGACACACATTCCACGATGTGAACCAGGTATGACAGGATTTACAGTAATAAAAGCCCAACATTAGTTAACCTTTTTCAACACTACCACTGCTTATGCATGTCCCAGCTAGCCATGTGTCACACTAGCATACCACTAAATCCAGTCAGTTTCAATCCTTGGTAATGTCAAGTGATACTTTTGGTGGACAAAGTGGCAATATAGCAAGATTTTTTAAGCTCTTCAGTTTTCCTCTAAACATGACAGGCTGGTATAAAAAAAATTCTTGCAGAAATCATTATAATTATACCATGTAATTTTCTTGTCATGTTAAATAACAGTTGAGAGCTCAGAATTTAAGCTAAATTGTCATTTTATGGCCATCTATTGAGAGTGGCAAACTTTACAATTATCGCTGTAGTATGAATACAGGAGAAGGTTGACAAGAGTTTTCCTGTGTTACCTCATCCTTTTAACATGTGTTCCTACTAATATTGTTGTGTGGTTTCTAGCTCGGTGTAAACGGATGCCAAAAGCTCCTCGTAATGGGATGGTAATTGCACCTAAAACAGAGCATGGGATGAGAGCAAGATTCAAATGCAAGGATGGATACACTCTTCTGGGGGATAATATAACAAAATGTTTATTTGGTAACTGGACTGGTGTCCAACCATATTGTCAAGAGGGTGAGCTACAAACCATTCTTTTATTTGAATTGTTTCTTGCGAAATTTTCAGTTAATTCTGGCAATGAAGAAACTTTAAGTGATCAAAGCATACAGTAAAACCTCTGTTAACCGACCCTTGATTATCCGACTCCTGCATTAACCGACCGAATTTCAGTCAGATCTCTATTGCAATCGGTTTATACCAGCAAGAGTCAGTAAAGTGAAACCCACGCAGTACGAGCGACTGTCCTATCGTGTGTTTTCAGTCTGCATGGAGACGCTGTGCTACGTATATCGTGTGCATTAGTGTGCATATTTTGTTATATTACTGTACTGTAAAGTGATAAACTAATAAAATGGCTTCTACAAGGTTACTGAGATGAAGAAGGGTAGCTAGGTTAAAAGAAAACGTGTTGAGCTTATGACAGCTAATAAATTGAAGATTATTGAGAAGATTGAATCTGGTGTCATGATAGCTAAGCTAGCAGCTGACCATGGCATCAGTGTAACTGCCACTGAACCACTGTATGATTTTGAAGGATTTGAGCAAGCAGATTTTCATTAAACTTTTTCATTAGCTGGTGATAAAGGGATTTCAATAAATGATGTGGAAGACTGGCCAGAAGTTGATGAGAGAGATCCTGGTTATGAGAATTTAAGTGAAGAACAAATTGCTGAGAATGTTTCTGCTACTGAAGCTGATGATGAAGAAACTGAAAAGCCTGCAAAACTATCAGCTGTGAGGGAATATGTTGATGGCATCATACAGTTCATTGATCTAACCTCAGACCCAGGTTTTGGTGATTATTATGAGCACTTCAGGACATTTAGGGAATTGGTTATTCTCAGGCAAAGACATGATAAAAACAAAACAACCCAGCAGAAAATACATAGCTTCTTCAAACCTGCTGATTCCCATAGAAGCTGAACCCCGCCTCCTTGTTCAGGACAATATAGCAAGCAAATCAACTGACATCAGCAGAATCACACCAGAACCTTCACTTCATGTGATGGACAGTGACTCAGAATGACTAATAAATTCACTATTTTAATACAGGACTTCCTCGAACAGTACTCATGAGTGACTCTTTTGCCATCAGCTTGTGCGTGTGAAATGCCCACATCATCTGCTGAGGAAAATCTGTATTGAATCTTTGTATATTTCTAATTATATCTTTGTCTTCTACTTATTTTTTAATATCCATGACCATGTTCCCCTTCCCCTCCCTCATCCAACTTATCAGCTTATCCGACCTATGGCTCCCCCATTTAGGTTGGTTAAAAGAGGTTCCACTATATTTGCTTAGCATTTGTATAACAGCAAAAGGTTAAAACAGTTTTATTTAAGTGCACCATACACTAATGACTTCATATGAACATATGGAATATACCACTAATAATGTGAGGTACACTAAAGAAATATATTAATCTACCCCACATATAATGAAATATCAGAATGTATACAAAAAATTGCATGTTTGGTATTTATAAATTTGTTATATTATGCAATCCCACACAATGACTGTTATACACACTTTAAAATATCAGTCTTTATTCATATTTCAGCACATCTTTGTTTGTTTGTTATTTCCATCATCCTATGCCTTATTCCATATCTTCCATGCCTAAACTTCTGAATGTGAAAAGTTTCTTAGATGGACAAAATGGATTTTCTTTCCTCAAGTTAATTTCCTAACATTAGTTAGGAAGCTTGCATATAACTATTGTAAAACTTATTTTGCAGTTTACTGTCCATTTCCGGGTTATATTGAGAATGGAAGGGTGATGTTGGTTGGAAATATGGGCGTGTATGATTATCGTCCATATGTTCGAAAGGTGACAAACAACAAACAGATAATGTATGAGTGTGAGCGTGGTTATGTTTTGACTGATGGCCCACCTGGTGCAACATGTATTGGAGGAAGGTGGAGTCCTAAACAACTTCCCAGGTAAACAGATGCTGCCATGAGTACTTCAATTTCCTTTAATAATATGATTGAGTATGTTCAATGGATTAAAAATTTAAAATAAATTGTAATATGTCATTTTATGTTATATTACATATACTTTTTCTCTTCTAGTCAGACACTTTCACTTGGTGTGTATTGCTGTACTTAGTGGCTGCAAAAATAATATTTTAAGTTGTTCAGGACATAAATATAACTAGTTATATTCAGGATATGTATTTATGAAAATATTAGATTTTATTATCGGTGGAGTGGTTATTCATGTCATGTAGGATTTCAGTTTGTCTCAAATATAAATTTCATATTGTATTAACTGTCACAGAAACATCTTTGTTATTGTTTATAAGAGCGTGTTTTTAGGTTGTTATAAAAAATTATATGTGATTCTGTCTTTGTACTTTATTCTACTTTTTAAAATTTAGATGTGTGCCTGGTATGCACCCACGCCTGCGGTGGAGCCGATCAGTCCATGCCAGACGAGCACTTCTCATGGCACACAATCAATCACGTCAGCAACTGTGGCAGCGAGATCGCCAGAGGCGTAACAAAAAGGGGCGCAAAGCAAAGAAAAGGGGTGGCAAGGGGAAAGGTAATGTTTGATATCATTCTTCCATTACATACATACATGCATATGCACACACACACACAAACTCGCATGCACATATGTATATATGTTTAATTGAAAAAAATATATAATTTACATAGCCAGCAGTTGACTGCTCCTTTGTACAAAATGAAATAACAACAAACAAATGGAAGGAAACAGTTTAAAGTAAGATTTTGAGAAAGCAAATTATAGTTATAACCAGTTTCATTTATTGTTTATAAAATGTTGGGCATACTGATTGGAAGCAGGTTTTAACACAAGTGTGCTATCATGAATATTCAGGAAGTGCAGAATGATAATTTTCTGCCAATGATGCCAATTGTTGTGTTCTTCTTTTACAGAATGTTTTGGTTCAAACTGACCAACATTAGTTTATTAATTTCATATTGTAAAAAATGTTTGCTTATTTTGAACTGCAGATTTTATAAATTTCACTAAATTCATGTAGGATCATCTTTGCTTGTACAGTAATATTAATTTAAACTTTGCATATATCTGTGTGTTTTTATTACTTACTTTATTAATTATATTTTTTGCAGAAACCTAGTGTTAGGCAGCCACAGCCTCTGTAAAATGATCTCAGTGCAATAAATTTCATTTCATATTTTCTGTTTACAGCTGGACCCTGTGAAGTAATATCAGAAGAATCATTTTTAAACATAGAAGTGTTAAAAGCAGGACGAGATCCTAATCAGACATTCTCACCTGGAACTGTTATTAGGGTTTCCTGTGGAAAGGGATATGGCCTCAACATAGGAACCAATGTCACAGCAAAATGTGTCAGAGGGCAATGGAAACCTTCCAAACCTGAATGCCTCATCTGTAAGTTATAAAATAACTTAAATTTTTTTTCCTTAATTTGATCCAAGAATAATTTGAGTAAAACCATGCTATGTATAAATATATAAAAGATTGTCTTTTATTTATACATTTAGAAGTAGTTTAAAAAGTATTATTTCTAGTCCATTAAGGTACTAAGTTGTTGATCCACAGTGACAACAGAAGTTGACTAAATAACGATCACATTCATAGAAATTAGCAGTCTCCATCTTCAAAGGTAAATGACTGATGGCCAATCTATTTGTGTTTTTAGGTAGCAAATGGGAAGAACACTTTGTCGCATTTTCAAAGGATTTATGAGCTACCTTAGATTATTGTTTTGCCCTGCAGTCTGGTGACTAGACATGAACATACAACACACACTTTCTCTATATTCACTTGTAGATTGACCTCCTTACTGGACTATAATAGAGTTTATGTTTTTTTAAGTTACTTTCATTTTTGATCAATTAGTTCACATTATCAGCACAGACCAGAAGCTTGTGTGTTCCTTAAAATTTCCCCTTTTTGCCTTGGATCTCAGAACATTAATTACAAGTGTAATTTTTTATTTAACAAGTTTTTAATATTTCCCTTTGTTGCAGTGCCTTGCCATGTCCCAGTAACAGAGAATGGTATCTATAAGCTTAATTCAAGAGAGGGTGGAAGTCAGAGTGCTTTGTTAAATGAGTCATCAACAATAGAAAATGGGGAAGTTGTGGAATTCTCGTGTAAACATGGGTATAATGTCCAAGGACCAAGTAATCTCCGATGCTGGCATGGCAAGTGGGCTATCACATCTTTGCCAGACTGCACACCAGGCAAGTGAAATCAGATTAAACTATATGTTACAGGGAAATAAATTAGTCACTTTAACCCTTAAATATTATTAGGTATAGTAGTAAAACACAGTAATTTCTTCAGAAATTTAATGTATGCTCATGTGTTCAATTTTCAGTTTTCCTTCATTAATTTTGGAGGTATGAATTTTGTTACTTAAAAGTATTAAAAATTAATGAGAACATAAAACATTTTTATTTCAAATTGTTAATGGAGTTTTAATCTGTTATACATCCATTTTTTATGATTTAAGCTCTCATGTTTACTTTCAGTTATTTTGGCCTTTTAGGCGAATAGTTTATGACAGAGTGTCAATATCATTAAAAAATTAACAGACTGTAATTCAGATATTTCTACATTTGAAGTGCTGTATTTTTATTTTCAAAGAGAGAGAGCAATTGAGAATGTTTTATTCACAATTTATGTGAATGGTCAGTGTAAAGTGGACAGCTGGACCAGTTATAAATGGCAGTGGCTTCAGATATAAAAGTAATTATTCCACTTGTATTAGAAATAGACATCCACAACAAACAAATGATTTTTGTTGCTTAATTTTTTCATTTAAGCACCATTATTGACATGCACTTGGTGACAATGGTGATTGAAATTCAGCACTTCATTGTTACAGAATCATTTCCTGGGAAGAGTGTCCAAATGAGGTCACATCAGGACAATTTGTGGGTCAGGCTATGGACATGGCCTTTCAAATTACTATCACAAGAATATGTAATATTCTACAGAGTAAAACTTGATGTGTTAATTGTTTGTCTGTAGCACCATGTGAGCTGCCAATGATAACCAATGGACAGTATCTCTCTGGCTACAGAGCAGGACTCACCATAGCAAATGGCTCATCAGTAACATTCCAGTGTGATAGTGACTACAGCAAGTCAACAGGTCAACCCATAGAATGTATTCTGGGGGAGTTGCGGCCCCGTGTACCAGCGTGTAGGCACCACACACTTCCCATCATAACGCACAGCAGTAAGTGTTTAACCATAAAGCTGTCCCACAATACACCATGTAGGCACTTGGGGGGAGAGCTGCATAGCTCCCACTCATTCTTAACCTCTGCACTAACTGAGGGTGAGTGGTTATCATCATGCCCCAACTCCCACTCATTCTTAACCTCTGCACTAACTGAGGGTGAGTGGTTATCATCATGCCCCAACTGCGCTTTACCCCCAGGAAAGGACCCTGTTACCAATTGCATTGGAGGCTAAGTGTTTAACCATAGAACATTTAATTTACCTCTTTGCCCTAATAAATTGTTTGGTTTTTCAGAAGAGTGGGTCTGGTCCTACATGGTAAAATAGTGAGAATGTTTCATGAAGTCTTCATCAGTTCATTATTATTACATAATCACTGTTCCCATTATCATTGAAAGATGTTTGATTGAAAGCATCTTGACTCTTTTGCTGCTGGCAAATTAAATATAAATATCATATGTGCACTTAAAGTCATCTTTTATTGCAAATCTTCATCCAAAACCTGCAAAAAGAAATTCTTGATTCATTTAGATTTTCATGATTAGGAAAAGGATACATTTCACACATGGACTGGGTATTCATTTCTAGGTATTGCTCATGGCATAAACATTACTAGAAAGGAGTTTGCAGTTGGAGTACATGGTTACTAAATGTATTTACTGTAATTTTGCATCCACACTGGTTTATTTATTGCAGATATAAACCTAATGTTGTGACATAACTTTTAGGAATATTACACTACACACAGTTATAAATTCTGTTCATGACAAAGTAAATGAGCTGTACATATATTAATCTTACCACCTTTTATGTCAATAAATATACAGCATATAAAATATATCAAATAAAAGTTACAAATTTTAATTCAAATATATACCTTTCTCTCATGTGTACAGTTTTGTGTAATTAACAATTACTTTACTTTATGCATTTCATGTAAAGAGCACATACCAATTAACAAGAACCTTCTTAGTGGATTACACATTTACTCTGATACGATAAAAGTTTAAATAGTGACTCTTTTATTATGTTTGCTAGATGGCAGCAGCAAACATCTTGAGACAAATATGCAATTCAAGGGTGGCAGTGACATAACGAAAGGAGGAGATATTGGTGTAATTGACTTTCCTGCAGGATTCAGGAGGACTTGTGGTCCACCAGCTAGAGTTCAGGGTTCACTGGTATACAGGGATGGAGAACCAATTGGGGAGACTGACAGGAGGTATAGTTTATTGTGTCTTGCCATTTTTGGAAACAAACACTTTTATGGTAGGCAGTACTAGACTAAACTTAGGGTGAGCTATAGGAATTATATTTATGTTCATGTAAAATTTCAATGTTAAACTCCCTCCATTTAAAATTGTCTTTAGTTAAGTGTCAAAATTCATTGCTCCCCAAAGAAATTTTAAATGGGGATTTCACTGTAACATTTATAAGCAAAGAATATGTGGAAAGCAGATTTTAAGTTTGTCTCAGCAAATTGTATAATGATAGGGCTCTTCATAGGAGCGAAATGAAATCATTCACTTACTCTTCTACAACATACATGTCTATTCAAATACCACTGTACATGTATTCTGTTAACTGCTAACACCTACTAACTTCTCGCGGGGCAAAATCCCTCACAAAATTTAAATTAATTCCATAGTTCAAGAATACATATAGACTGGCTAATTAGCCCTTTTTTAAAAAAAGAAATCCACTTCCTCTGAAACGTAAAATTCCAGACTTTCCAGCTGTAACATTTTGTTCCCCTGGGACTGGAAACTTCCAGAACTCCTGGTAAATATTAACCTTTATTGGCATTGCAGTAGCATAGAGCTAAACCAAACCTCATAGATAAATTCAGGCCTGCAACTCCTTAATTCAGTGGTTTAAATTCCCTATACCTGCTTGATAAAGATTAGTAGTTGTTATCATTATGGTCACCCATTAGCTTCCACTTGGTGCTGGTAATTAGAAAATAGTAATCAGAACTGGAGCTAGGGGCTAGTTCTGTTTCAGTCATAATCATGTGTTAGAAGTTTGGAAAAGAGAAGAGGTTGTATTTTTATGGTTCCAACTACATTTGCCATTAATAATGGTGGTTTTCGTTTATTCTAAATTTAAATGTTATAAAATATCGGCTGGGTAGAAAGGTGATCTGACAGAGGGTAATATTTATAAATCAGAATCACTGTTTCATATTTGTTCAATTAAGTATGACACATTTTTCTCAATTCATTTAACACAGAACACTTGTATTTAAATTGTCAGCCATTGAGACCTTTTTACAAATACTATGCAATTTAAGAGTTTCCCCAACTGTTTTGCTTTGCAAGTGGGTAATAGTAGTGCCTTACTATCTGCTTGTATAAGAAATATTTGTCTGTGTTAATCAGCTGTTCCCATTGTTCACTTCTTATTACTGTTCCTAATTGGATATATTCCCTGAGTTCTGTTATCTGATTCCAGTTTTCCAGATGGTACAGAAGTCACTTTTAACTGCATAGCTAGCATCATGGGTGAGAAGACAACGTGGAGGATTATTTGTGAAGATGGAAGTTGGGTTGGGAGATCTCTCAACTGTGGTATGTTTCATTTATTTGGTTATTGATGTGGTTCTGTTGAGTATAATTGTTTTAAGGTATACAATACATTAGATATTCTATTAGTCATGTCAAGCAAGAGAGCATAAGGGCTATATGGGTGCAGTTTTATTAAATTAATAGTTCTTATAAGCAGTATTCCTCACAACTTAATATATAAAATTGCTTGTGAAACAGAAATAAATTAAAAATTATAGAAATCAAAGCTCACACATACAATCCATACTTCATGGTACAGTCTATAATATGCCAAGTCATATAGACACGTTATTTTCTTGATCACATGAGAATTCAATTATAGGTACAAAAATTAAATAAATATGAATATGTTCAACAATAGACAACAAGTGAAACTTTAGTATGATGGTGTGATTTCATTTTGGTTGCTTGGTTTGTTTATGTATCATGTATTGATTCTGTATAAACTGAATGTTGGCTTTCTGAAGATGGCAGCAGTATATTATTTCGAAACGTTGGTGTCTTCCTACAAGTCCACATGACATTACAACCCAGAAGACTGACGGACATCTACACAGCCACGAGAACCTCAGATCTCTTATTATTCAGTATTGATTAAGATGAAAGGTTAATTGTGATGAGAATTTGAAAGGATTATGGAGGAAGTGAGCATGCCATATTTCAAGTTGTCCTGGAACCTGCCTACAATGACAGAAAATTTATGAAAGTGCCAACTGGTGCTCTCTGCAAGGTTCAAG